GGAAGGGCAAATAAAACACCACAAAGTTCCTCTGCCATTTTTGTTTTCTCAGTTCAAAATTTGCTGGATTGTTGTAAATCTTTGGATATTTTCCAGAGTTTGAATTAAGTTGATTCTGAGCTTTTTATATCTTGTTGCAGCACCAAGGTGTCTCCCTGCATGTGCCACTAGCTGACAGCCCACGTGCCCTGGCAGTGGTGTCAAACTTTGCTGCCAAGTTAAGCAGAGGGAGACCCTCCCAGTTTTCTCAGCCCCAGCCAGGGAACCACCTGCAAGAGCCAGTCCCAGGAGCTCCTTCTTCCCAGCAGGCACCCATGCTGACCACTTGTGGCCCCTGCTACTGCTTCAGGCCAGGAAGAGAGTGGCCACGCCCACAGCAGCTCCAGCAGAGACATCTGCACTGATCACAAAGGTGTGGCTGAAGCAAACAGCCCACCTGAAATCAGATCACTACAAGCCAGACAGAATGGCACCCCACCCACTGCATGCTAACAGCTGGGACTCCCACTTCGGAAAGTGAAGTGTGTTGAGTTTCTAGGCACTACAGGGCACCTCCTTCATAAAGCTATCACTCCATAGGAAACACTGAACAAGGAGAAGGCAGAGGATGTTTGTTCCAAACAAACCTACAAAACAAAACACCAGAAAGGTCTGAATGAAACTGAAACTACCAATCTTCTTGATAGATAAAGACTTCAAAGTAAAAGTCACAAACATGCTCATGGATCTACAGAAAAATATTCAACTCAGGGAGGATCTCAACAAAAAGAGCCACTCAGAGCTGAAGAATATGGTATCAGAAATGAAACATATACAATGGAGGGACTTAATAGCAGACTTTCACTGGTTGAAGTTGTAAATGACTTGAAAATTAGAGGGCAAGAAAACAATGAAGCTGAAAAAGAGAGAATAAAGGATCTCCAGGAATGAAAGAATAAGAGAGCTGTGTGACCAATCCAAATTAAACAATATTTGCATAATAGGGGTACCAGAAGAAGAGGGAGATGAAGGGAAAGTCTTTTTGAGGAAATAATTGTTGAAAACTTCCCCAATCTGGAGAAGGAAACAGACACTCAGGTTTGGAAATTCAGAGAACCCCTAACAAAAGGAACCCCAGGAAGAAAACACCAAGACATGTAACAATTAAAATGCCAAAGATCAAGGACAAGGAAAGAGTACTGAAAGCAGCCAGAGAGAGCGAGAGAGAGAGCAAAGACTGCTTACAAAGGAAACCCCATCAGGCTATTGGCAGACTTCTCAGCAGAAACTTTAAGGCCAGAAGGGAGTGGCATGATATATTTAATGTAATACAACAGAAGGACCTCCAACCAAGAATACTCTACCCAGCAATATAATCATTTAAATTTGAGGCAGGGATTAAACAATTTTCAGATAAATAAAAGTTGAAGGAGTTCACCACCACTAAGCCATCCCTACAGAATATGTTAAAGGGACTGCTGTAGATGGAAATGTTCCAAGGCTAACTAGTTTTCACCAGTGAAAATAAACCCACAGTAAAGGTAGACCAATTAATTACCAAGCAAGTACAAAATTAAATCAACTATTCAAAAACTCAGGCAAGAAATACACAAAAAGTGAAGAATATGACAATTAATACATAAAGTGTGGAGAAGGGAGGAGGAAAAAAAGTACTTCTTGATTGTGTTTTAAATAGAGTAATACAATGATTTAAGATAGACTGTTACATAGTAAAGAAACTATCCTTGAAGCTTTGGTAACTACAAATCTAAAGGCTAAGTCACACACACACACAAAAGCAAGAAAGGAATAATCACAACACCACAGAAATACAGATTATTATAGAATACTTTGAAAAATTATATGCCAATTAAATTGGACAACCTAGAAGAAACAGACAACTTTCTAGAAAAAAAACAACCTTCCAAGGCTGACCCAGGAAGAAACAAAATCTGAACAGATCAATTACCAGCAATGAAATCAAACTGGTAATAAAAAAACTACCTAAAAACAAAACTCCTGGTCCAGATGGCTTCAGAGCTAAATTTTATCAAATATTTAGAGATGAGCTAATACCCATCCTTCTTAAAGTTTTCCAAAAAAAGTAGAAGAGGAGGGAAAACTTCCAAACTCATTCTATGAGGCCAGCATCACTCTAATACCAAAACCAAAGACATCACAGAAAAAGAAAATTGTAGATCGATATCCTTGATGAACATAGTTGCAAAAATCCTCAACAAAATATTAGCAAACTGAATTCAAAAATACTTCAAAAAGATCATCCATCATGATCAAGTGGGATTCATTCCAGGGATGCAAGGATGGTACAATATTTGTAAATCAATCAATGTCATATATAATATCAACAAAGGACAGAAATCACATGATCATCTCAATAGAGGCTGAAAAATCATTTGAAAAAATTCAACATCCATTCATGATAAATACTCTTTTAACAAAATGGATATAGAGGGCACGTACCTCAACATAATAAAGGCCACATATGACAAACCCACAGCCAACATCATAGTAATAGTAAAAAGCTGAAAGCTTTTCCTCTAAGACCGGGAACAAGACAAGGATGTCCACTCTCCCCACTTCTATTCAACATAGTACTGGAGGTCCCAGCCATGGCAATCCAATAACACAAAGAAATAAAAGGCATCCAGATTGGGAAGGAAGAAGTTAAACTGTCACTGTTTGCAGATGACATGATATTGTACATAAAAAACTCTAAAGAATCCACCCCAAGACTACTAGAACCAATAACTTAATTCAGCTGCAGGATACAAAATTAATACACAGAAATCAGTTGCATTCTTGTATACTAATGATGAATTAGTAGAAAGAGAAATCAGGAAAATAACTCCATTCACAATTGCATCAAAAAAAGTAAAATATCTAGGAATAAATCTTACAACGGTGGTGAAAAACCTTTACTCTGAAAACTTAAGACACTCATGAGAGAAATTAAAAATACCAATAAATGGAAATCTATCCCATGCTCATGGATGGGAAGATATTGATATTGTCAAAATGGCCATGTTGCCAAAGCAAATTACAGGTTCAATGCAATCCCTATCAAAATACCAACAGCATTCTTCAATGAACTAGAACAGTGAAATAAGCCAGGTGAAGACAAATACTAAATGATTTAACTTATTTGTGGAGTTTGTGGAGTATAAAAACAAAGCAAAACAGAAGGAACAAAATAGTAGACTCATAGATACTGAGGAGGGACTAGTGGTTACCAAGGGGAGAGGTTTGGGATCACAGGGTGGGGAGTGGTAAGAGAATCAAGAGACAATCATTCACAATCATAACACAGGTTGGTCACAGGTACAGTAGCACAGCATGGAGAATACAGTTAACACAAGGTGAGCAATGGCATCAGCTGCACCCACAAGCCAGGACAGGTCCCTAACCTACATTTCATAAGGAACCATCCCATCACATTAGCTGTACTAGTATCTGCGAGGAATCACTAACTGCAGGGTTCTCACCTGGATATAGCCATCTCTGGATTTATTTTTGTCAGGTACTTTTCTTCATGGTCCTCCTAGGATATTTTACTTGGTTTAAAGGGCCAATGCATTGAGAATGGGGAAAGCTATAATGTCAGGGAGTCTATGCCATTCAAAAATCTCTGGCATGAATTGTCCAAACTCTTTTCTTCTTCCATGGACAACAGAGCTCCCATATTGTAGGTAGACGAATGTCCACATTCTCCAGCTTATGTGTGGATGATCCTGGGCGTCGAATTTCTGACTATTGGAGAATGCAGATGCAATTTGGAATGGGAAAAGGCTAGAAAGAACACTATGATGGTGAACTAAGAATTGATATTAAACATGAATTCACAATTCATTCTTTATACATACATACCTATCTTTTTACTTACCTGTCATCTCTATCCTGGCAATAATAAATAAAGAGCATATTTATTATCCAGATCTTGATTTCTAAACTGTTCCCCACTGTGAGGAACCAGGGTTCCTTAAGAAACAGTGAATTCCATGGCTGGGGCAAGGAAGTATGAGTATGGAACATCCCACTGTGCCAGAGAGCAAGGACGCGCTCAAATTTACGAAAAGTTAAGTGATGGGCAAGTAAGATAGATGTCTGTGAACAAATGTCAAGAGAATGATGAAGGGAGAAAATCACCTTTTCCAACAATCAGTACTACTAGATTTAGGCCAGATTTAGCAATGGATGCTAAAACTACTGGAGGAAACTTTGTTGGGAAACAAGCAGAATCAGAATTTATCTTCTCAAGAATTAATCACAAAGGTGAAAATGGTAACATCCCAGTGGAAAGATCCAGCTCACACCTACCTTAAGTTAGCCTTGCCTATAATGGGACAGACATCCCATGTTTCCTTATGTGATGCACCAAGAACACAACACTCATGGAATCATCATGCCAAAAAATGCATAATTTAAAACAAATAGAGAGAACCTCAGATAAATCCAAATTAAGGGACAATGAAAAAATATCAAGGTCATTAAAAACAAAGAATGAGGTAATGGTACAGATTAAAGGAGCCTAAATAAAATGTATAAGCCTTGACAGGATTCTAAAAAAAAAAAAAGTGATAAACTTATTATCAGGACAATTGATAAAATTTGAATAGGGTCTGTGGGTTAGGTAGTGTTATGGACCAGTATTCCATTTCTCTGAATGTCATACCTGTAGCTATGTCACTCTTGTTCTTAGGACATGTACACATATTTAGATGCAGGGAGAAAGAGGTCTGTAATGTCCTCTTGTTTTAAAAAAGCATGCGTGCACTTAGGTATATCCATGTGTGATTCACATACATGGGAAGAATAACGATTCTACCATGTTAAACTGCTGAATCTGAACAAAGGGTACACAAAAGACTTACATGATTTTATAATTTTTTGTGGTTTTAAAATATTTCAAAAGGTTTACAGAAATGTAAAAATATATATGAAGCAAAATCCCATATTTAGATAACTAGATGTAAATACCTAACTATTCATCACCCCCCGAACCCTTTTTTTTTTTGAGAGCACACAAAAACCCCATGCTTTTGTTTTTCCAGATTAGTATATTCTGGACATGTTCCAACATCCATAATTACAGATTTATCTTCTCCCATTTGATGTTTGCATAGTGTTCCACTGGACCAGTAAATCACAAAATACTATGGAAATCCAACTGATTTTTTCTATGTTTGCTATTATAAATGATGCAATAACCAAACATTTATATTCATAGCAGATACAAATTTACTCCTGAAGACCAAAGATGCATCTCTGGGGATATATTCCTAACTTTAATCCAATATACTATATGAAATAATGCAATCATATTATGACTTCTTGGCTGCAGGGACTTTTTGTCAGTTTTATTTATTTTTCATAGCTTTACAGCTTTAGTAAAAATAATGGTCTTTGTGAATAAGTATAAAATGAAAGTTTAAAAAAAGAAAAAATTACCTCAAACCCTTCCTGACCCTAGAAAAAACTAATATATGGCAAATATCCTTTTCACACATTATCTTTAGGCATATATTCATTTTGAGAGATCATTTCTATCAGCTGGAACTTACCGGGTTACAACCTGTCTGCCCTGATTATTAGTTATCTTGTCACTATGTTCCATATCATGCTAATGGATTTTTTAGATTCCATCTGAAGAAATTCCTTACCAGTCTCAATACTTGGTCATCAGCATGGACTGTCCAGGAACTTAAAGATGTGCATCCTAACTGAAGCCACTGACATACTTCTCTTTTATAAATTCTTGCCAGTGTGGACTTTCTGATGGTATATAAGACGTGAACGGTGACTGAAGTCCTTACCACATAAGTCACATTTGTATGGTTTCTCTCCAGTGTGGACTCTCTGATGGGTTTGAAGACGTGAGCTCTGACTGAAGCCCTTACCACACTCCTCACATTTAAATAGTTTCTCCCTAATGTGAACACTCAGATGGACTCTAAGATTTGAGGGGAGACTGAAGGCCTTACCACACTCCTCACATTTATGGGGTTTCTCTCCTGTGTGAATCCTCTGATGATGGCGAAGATTCAAGCTCCTACCAAAGCCTTTCCCACACTCCTCACATTTGTATGGTTTTTCCCCAGTATGGCCTCTCTGATGGTATATGAACTGTGAACTGTATCTAAAGCCCTTTCCACAGACATCACACTTGTAGGGCTTCTCCCCAGTGTGGACTCTCTGATGGGATTGAAGACCAGAGGACTGACTGAAGCCCTTCCCACATATACCACATTTGTATGGTTTCTCCCCAGTGTGGACTCTCTGATGCACCCGAAAATCTATGGCCTGACTGAAGCTCTTATCACACTCTTCACATTTATAGGGTTTCTCTCCCGAGTGGACTCTCTGATGAGCGTGAAGATTTGATCTCCAACTGAAGCCCTTCCCGCATTCCTCACATTTATATGGTTTTTCTCCAGTGTGAATTACCTGGTGCAGTTTAAGATTTGAACTGTAACTGAAGTCCTTACCACATACACCACATTTGTATGGTTTCTCTCCAGTGTGGACTCTCTGATGGGTCTGAAGCTTTGATGACTGACTGAAGCCCTTCCCACACGTTTCACATTTGAATCGTTTCTCTCCAGTGTGTACATTCTGATGCACTTGGAGATTTGAAGCCTGACTGAAGCCCTTACCACACTCCTTACATTTGTAGGGTTTCTCTCCTGTGTGAACTCTGAAATGGATATGAAGATCTGTATTACGGGTAAAACCTTTCCCACACGCCTCACACCTGTATGGTTTCTCTCCAGTGTGGACTCTCCGATGGCATATTAATGGTGAATTGTGACTGAAGCCCTTTCCACAGACATCACATTTGTAAGGTTTTTCCCCAGTGTGGACCCTCTGATGTATGTGATAATGTGCAGCCTGAGTGAAGCCCTTCCCACATTCCTCACATTTATAGGGCTTCTCACCCCTGTGGACCCTCTGATGAACACGTAGATTAACACTCCAACCAAAGCCCTTGCCACACTCTTCACATTTGTACGGTTTTTCTTCCGTGTGGACTCTCTGATGGCACTGAAAATTTGAACTTTGACTGAAGCATTTACCACACTCCTCACATTTATAAGGCTTCTCACCAGTGTGAGTTCGATAATGAATGATAAGACCTGTGCTGCTACTGAATCTCTTGCCACAACTGTCACATCGATAGGCCTTCTCTCCTGTATGATTAGACTGATGAGAATGAAAAGAGCTCTCACTGCAGCAATCACCAGATTCATGACATTTCCCAGGTTTCTCTCGAGGGTGCGCTCTCTGATGAGTTTGCAGATGTGAGCTCTGACTGGAGCACTTCTCTCCTGTGGGAACATTCTGATGGACTGGAAGCACTGAACTACAACTGAAGCCCTTGCCACACTCACTATGTGGACAGAGTTTCTTTCCTAAGGGTAAATGCTGATAGAAGCCATCACCGATGCTTTTGTCACACTCATTACATGTGTAGAGTTTCCGTTCCATATCAGTTTTAATGCAGTCACTCAGTAGTGATTTCTTCAGGAAGGCTTCACATATATACAGGTTATTTTTCATGTTAATTTGCTTACCTCTACTCTGATTCTGTGATTCATGTAGATACACATTCCTGCAAGAATCCTGGGTACTTGAAACTGAAAACTCTTCATTTTCAATATAACTGGAGTCATTTTCCTTATGATTCATTATATTGTTCTCATTTTCAGAAACCTGAATAGAATCACCTTGCAGTAACTGGGAACTCTTCCGCTGAAGAGACCTGGTTAAATCACTTGCAACCTGTCTCCAGATTCGCCAGCAGCATAACTCTTCATGTGAAAGGTATTTTAATGCAACTTTCTGAAGAGTCTCCATCCCATTTTGATTCTTGCTGCCTACAAGAAGCAGCAATATTAAGAGATGAGGATGAATAAATGCTTTGTTCAGAAATATCAGGATTAGGCCACAGGATAAGGCCTTAATAAACCAGGGGAAGGGTCATATCTGTACAAGATCATTTATCTTTTCTTATGTTTCCCATAAGTGGAAGCAAAAAATGGAGTAAACAGGCTCTTATCCACTAAGTGTAAGTTTAAGTGTGACCCATTTAGAACTACAAGTCCAAAAGTTTAATATGAGAATTATAAGTCTGAAATTAGGTGGCCGTAGGGTAACAAAGACAATCCACATTCCAACCTATAGTAATACCAATTAAAAGCCTACTCACCTTTTCCTCAGTAGGCGTATGACAAGTAGGATTCTACCCAACTAGGTTACAAAAGCTGAGACTGTAGGCATAAAATAGTACTTTAGGTCCTGGTAGAAATTATCTTCCAGAGTAAATTTGGGAAGCAGATGGAATAACAACATTCAGTGCTCTAAACCTGGTAGTTAATTCAGGTCTCTGTGGAGAAGGGAAAACTAATCTTTTATAACTTGAAAAGAACTGGGGTAAAGGAAAGAAACAGCACAGTTCAGACCCTCAAAGGCAACCCTGCAGAGGAAGGGAGGGAGAGTTCTATTTGGCTTGGGAAACTTTCCCCCAGAAAGCTGCTTGGCTTGTTTTTTCTCTCATTCCCTTTGGATGTCTGTCTGCCCAAATGTCAATTGGGTGAGGCCTTTCTTGTTACCCAATATACACTAATTTCTCCTCATCCCCATTACATCTTTTATTCTTCTCATTTGACTTACTCTGCCTTATTTCCCTCCACAGCACTTATTAGATTTATTATATATTTCCTGATCTCTTCTTCTTTTTAGACCCATTAGGCTGTAATAGTCATGAGGAAAACTTGTACTTTGTTTCCTTCACTGCTTTATCCCCATTGTAACAGAATTTTTCAAATTATCAGGATGTATTAGTGAACTGTGAAATCAATTCCATAAATTGTGACAAATATTAAAATATATATGTAAGTGTATCACAAGCAGTAAAGGACACCACCATATGAAGTGCTTGTTTCAACTTCCACAGGATAAGGCCTTAATAAACCAGGGGAAGGGTCATATCTGTACAAGATCATTTATCTTTTCTTATGTTTCCCATAAGTGGAAGCAAAAAATGGAGTAAACAGGCTCTTATCCACTAAGTGTAAGTTTAAGTGTGACCCATTTAGAACTACAAGTCCAAAAGTTTAATATGAGAATTATAAGTCTGAAATTAGGTGGCCGTAGGGTAACAAAGACAATCCACATTCCAACCTATAGTAATACCAATTAAAAGCCTACTCACCTTTTCCTCAGTAGGCGTATGACAAGTAGGATTCTACCCAACTAGGTTACAAAAGCTGAGACTGTAGGCATAAAATAGTACTTTAGGTCCTGGTAGAAATTATCTTCCAGAGTAAATTTGGGAAGCAGATGGAATAACAACATTCAGTGCTCTAAACCTGGTAGTTAATTCAGGTCTCTGTGGAGAAGGGAAAACTAATCTTTTATAACTTGAAAAGAACTGGGGTAAAGGAAAGAAACAGCACAGTTCAGACCCTCAAAGGCAACCCTGCAGAGGAAGGGAGGGAGAGTTCTATTTGGCTTGGGAAACTTTCCCCCAGAAAGCTGCATGGCTTGTTTTTTCTCTCATTCCCTTTGGATGTCTGTCTGCCCAAATGTCAATTGGGTGAGGCCTTTCTTGTTACCCAATATACACTAATTTCTCCTCATCCCCATTACATCTTTTATTCTTCTCATTTGACTTACTCTGCCTTATTTCCCTCCACAGCACTTATTAGATTTATTATATATTTCCTGATCTCTTCTTCTTTTTAGACCCATTAGGCTGTAATAGTCATGAGGAAAACTTGTACTTTGTTTCCTTCACTGCTTTATCCCCATTGTAACAGAATTTTTCAAATTATCAGGATGTATTAGTGAACTGTGAAATCAATTCCATAAATTGTGACAAATATTAAAATATATATGTAAGTGTATCACAAGCAGTAAAGGACACCACCATATGAAGTGCTTGTTTCAACTGTAGACATACACATAAATATGCACATACATTATTTTTATGCTGAGTCAAGATGCAAAACATTTTCTATTGAGGATCATCGTTAAAAATGCATGGGAGCCATTAGCTTAAAATGTTTAAGGGGGAAAACCAAACCCTTAATTATTAATTTGCTTAAATGGAAAGTAATATTCTAACATTACAAGTCAAAAAAGTCTCAACAGGTATGTATACCTCTCTGTGTGGTAGGCTAATCAAATGGTCCCCTCAAGCCGTCCAAACACTAATCCCTGGAACCTGTGAATATATTAATGTAGACAGCATAGGGGACTTTAGATCTGATTAAATTAAGGATCTTGAGATGGGGAGGTCATCCTGGGTTACTTAGGTGAGCCCACAGTGATCACAAGGTCCTTATAAGAGAAACGCAAGAGGGAACTCACCCAGACCTCACCCTATGCACCTCTCCCTTTTGCTAGTTCCCATTATATTCTTTTAACCATAATAAAATTTTAAGTAGAGTGCTTTCCTAAGCTCTGTGAGTCATTCTAGCAAGTTATCACGGGAATCTCCAAACCTGTAGACAATTGGTCACAGTGAGTGTGGCCCTGGGGAACCTGGCTGGTGTCTGAGCCTTAGTAGGCAGTCTTGTGGAAGACTGTGGCCTTAACCTGTTAAGTTGGGGCTAACTTCAGGTGTTTGATATCAGAACTCACTTCAACATGTAAAAGGATTCTCACATTGCCTGGGATATCAGCTAGTTAATACCACTAGGAATGCCAATTACAGTGGAAACCTATTTAGAAATTCTGTAATTTTCTTTCTTAAATCAGGACTTTCCTAATCTCCCCAGGTATGTTAGTGCCTTCTGACTCTGGAAATGTCCAATTTGAAACTACTAAGCAACTACCATTTATAGGTTATGTGATTGTTTAGAGAGAAGGAAGGGTAGTTGAGTAGAAAGTTGGTGAGGGGGAACTCTCCCAGACCTCACCCTATGTAGACATGAGGGAGTTTGCAATTGTAAGCAGCCAACTTGAAACTGTTACATGAGAATTGATGAATTGTAACACTGACCTACTGAAAATTTTTGTTAGTTATATATTCTGATAATTGTGAATAGCTTTTATCTGCTAAGGTTACTAAGTATCAATCTTTTGTTCAAAGATGCCCAAGAAATTAAAATTACATTAGACATTCACTGGTGTCTCCATTACCTGTAAGCTTTTTGTTTTTAAGATGCCTTAGAAAAGCAAGCCCTGTAATTTGTGCTCCTGTGACCTATAAAGAACATTTCAGGATAGTGTTTGTACATTGGAGCATGGCTGCAAAATCCTAAAACGTGTTGACGTTGAAAAGGTCAAAGAAACCTTTGAGAAAGGGTGGCAGAAAATGCTGTAAGATTTGCTGAGAGACTTGACCTATTATGCAAAACTGAGAAGTGACAATATTCAGGATCCTGAGGTTAAGTTTGCATATAAAAATGAGATTCAGTAAAGTGAAGCAAATATCTAACGTCCCTGAATGTGTCAAATGTAAAGCAACATGAAGACATAAAAAGGGAGATGGATGAAAAAAGACAGGTTATATCCATCAATTCCAGAATTCAGGCCTAATCTACCATACATGCAGACAAGCTTCTGTGTTTTGTTTTTCAGACAGAGGGAAAGTATATAAATTTACATGTTTTAGGAATCATTAATTTTTCATTTTTAAGTGGGTAGAATTGAGGAATATATACACTGAAGAGAAAGGAAAGGAGGTCAGAAAGTGGAAAGTGAGGGAGTCAGTGAGGGCCGGAGCAAGGCAGGGGTCAGTAAGGTGGCCGGTAAGGGGTACCAGGGAGGGGCTCCCCACAAACGGGAAAGGCTGGAGTCACAGGGTAGGAGAAGCTGTGAGGAGAGCTTCCTTACTTCTAGTCAAAAGAACAGTAATTATTTAAATAACTTACTCACTCAAAAAGTATGTGCTCAGCACCTACAATGCAGAATGCCCATCAGAGGCTTTGAGTAGATGCAGCAAATAAAACCACCCAAATTCCTACTTTCACTGGACGAGAGCTGAACAAGTAAATAAAAATATGTTACTAGGTCAGGAGGTGATCAGTGCTTAGACACAAGATAAGGCAGGGTAAAGGGATGGAGAACAGAGAGAGGATATTCAACAGGGCAGACACAGAAGGCCTGGCTACTGAGATGCAATCTGAACAAAGACCTGGGGAGTAAGGCGGTGGCTGGGGGAGTCTACCGAGGCAGGGGAGAGCTAGGCAAAGGCCATGAAGTGGAAAAGGACACTCCAAGGGGGGCCAGGATGGCAGCAATCCCCTGAGCAAGGGTAAAAGATGGGAGATCAAAGAGGAACATGACGTGGAGGCCACATCAGGTGGGGTCTTGTAGGTACTGTAAGGGCTCTGAGTGAAACAGGAAGCCTTTAGAGCGTCTGAGCAGAGGAATGGCGAGATCTTACTTGCTTTCCAAAGAGTATCTGGCTACCATGTGGAGAAGAGATTACAGGAGTGCAAGGTGGGAGGCGGGAAGCCACCGTGCTGGGGTGGCTGTCGTCACAGTCCAGGCAAGCGATGACAGCACCTGGGCAAGTGGCAATCACAGGTGTGAGAGGCAGATGAGCCAGTACCTGAACGAACAGCCATGTGGTGCTCACTGCAATACGCATTCCTTTGGGTTCCTCTTTCCATCACCCAAAGCTTTTCTTCTGCCTCCAGCTGGGATACCATATCTGCTCTGAAGGGAAGATGTCCTATGAAAAGGCAAATAGATATATTTAAGATGTATTGAACACACAGGTATAATAAAATTTTACCCAAATTCCATATCCTTGGAACCTCTAAAGTAATATTTTAAGAGCCTTTTTGATCATTAACTGTAATAAGAGATAAATTTAGGTTGTGACTTAGTCCATGTCTACAGACAGATAGAATTAGATTTAGCCAACATCTGTTTTCATCGTATTTCCCACACTCTCACACTACTCACTGCAAATGGTCAGTTTTTGCTGACATGTGAGCAGGTCTTGATTAGGAACTCTGATAGCTTCTATCCTTGTTCTATTTTATTCTAATTCATTGAAAAAAAATGATGCCAGTACAATGTACTGACTTCATAACTCTATAAAGGATCACAAACATAATTTGAAAGATTAAGTATGTGAAAGACAAAGTATAGAAGCTAAGCTGCCCATTTTTAACTCATTTAAAATAGGATTTCTCAACAGAGGCACTCTTGATATCACGGACTGGCTATTTTTCCTGCAGGTGCTGTCCTGCGCAGGGGAGAATCAGCAGCAGAGCTAACCACTAGATGTCAGCACCACCCCTCCCCCAGTCACAATCAAAAACTGCTTCCAGACAATGCCAAATGCCCCAGGGGGCAAAACCACCCCTGGACAGAATTTTGCCTGAGCAGAAAGACTGGAAAAACCTATGCCTGTAGTCCCAGAGATTAGACAAACTTGTGCCTTCAAGGTCAGGGAACCATTTCAAACAGTCCAAAGCTTTGAAGAGCAGTGGATACACAGACTCTCAAGAGGGGTGAGGTTCGGTGTCAGACGGCGCCCGTCCTCACCCACTGAGACCAGATTCTTGAAATTCTCCAGCATCACATCTCGGTACAGCTGCCTCTGGGCAGGTTCCAGGAGCCCCAGCTCCTCTCTGGTGAAGACCACAGCCACGTCCTTGAACGTCACTGCCTCCTACAACATCAAACACACACAACCTCAATCCTAACACCCTCCACTGGAAGAGGGCAGCATTGCGAGGATAAAGAGGATTAACCAATCCGTTAGATTTGGAGGGACTCCAGGAAGTTTTTAGTCCCAACACTTGTCTCTTTCCTCTCCCTGCCTCCTCACGAAGCTTGGACTCTATCACTACTTTTAATGTGTGCAAGCTCACAAGTCTTCAGTAACCCTCCAGGATGGGTATATCACTCTTATGCTGTGTTTTCAAGACACACACCCTACCCACCTACTGACACATTCATAGCTGGTGAAGGCACAGGCTGGATTCAAATTTCTAAGTTTTATTTACAGACCTTGGGGGAATTCCTTGACCTCAATCTCAATTTCCTCTTCTCTGTAATAATGGTGTCTCAATCACAAGGTGTTTGAAAGAATTAGATGAGCAAGTATGCATGAAGCACTTAGAATGGAGCCCACCATCACAAATGCTTGATAAAACTAAACCATCAGTATTGTTATGACCTCTTTCATTCCATTTGGCACCTACGTTCATCAATCCAAATAATGTACAATTAGTTCCAGATTTTTACTTATAATCAAGGCTGCAAAGATCCTCTTACAGAGATGCTGGCCAAGAAGTGGCAGCTGCAAAGTCATAGAATAAGCACTTTAAACATATTGAAAACATAATGGCAGATTTCCCTCAAAAGGTTTTCCCAGTTCACCTTCCGTGTGCGAGAGCACAAGTGTTCCTGAATTAGATAGACTCTAGCCAAACAGGACATAATTCCTTTTTAAAAAAAAACTGTCAGCAAGCTAAGTGAAGTAAATAAACAGACAGCTTTTATTGTTTGCACACATTTAGTTATAATGATCATTATTTTCCCCATAAATTCATTTTCTTTTTTGTGACACTCCATTTATTTTTTCACATTCCAATTGGGTTTTCTTTATCTTACTAATCTTAATAAGAATTAGAGATATTAAGCCTTTATCTAATGTACATCTTATAAGTATATCCTATTCATTCTAATACTGCAAAGATATAACTGTGAATACAAGTAAAAAAGGAATATGGGAAAGTGCAAAGAGCTAGTTTGTAAGCAGGGTTGCAATGTAAATTTTTTTGTCTATTTCAAACTTTTATTATTTTTTCCTGAGGACTGTGAAATAATAAAGATGATCAAATAAAAACAAAAATGCACACACAGTCTGGGTCATTCACAGACAACACACATTCAAGGTCATCCTTGACCCTTTTCTATTAACCTTTCTAAGAAAGAATAAAAGGATGTGCCTTATCTTTAAGAAATAAAATCACATCTTAAAAGACAGACAGGAATGCCTTACTTACCTGAAAGTTGATCATTTTCTCCTGCTCCTTTGGGGGAAGGTCAGAGTCTTGAGAATGCATAACTGAGGAAGGACAAAGACGCCATGAGATGCAGGCCAGGCCTGCCGTGAGCCCATGAAGATCTGTGCAGATACTATACCAGAGCCCTCCTATTTCCAGACAGATGTAGCCACATAAAGCTTGGGAAGCAGAGTGTGGAGCAGATTCTAGCTACCAACAGATCTGTCACAGGGGCTATGGGGCAGTGGACGAGCTGCACAACCAAATGCAGCATCCCCACTAGAGGGGTTTCTGATCCAGGGTTGGCAGAAAATGAGAGGCATCACAGCAACATGTGAGTTAAAAAAAAATGAGCTCTGGAGTCAAAGGCCTAGGTGCAAATCCTGGAAATGATACTCACCATTTGTGTAACATGATGGGTATTAAAAAAAAAAAAAGCCTCTCTTTGGTTATCTGCTCAAGGAGGATAAGAATCATAAATCATACCCACCTCATAGGGCTGTTCCAAAGAGTAAATGAGTAGATGGAAAGTTCTAAGAACCTGGAGTCCTTTCTTCTTGTAGCTGCAAAAAAAAAGGGCAGATGAAATTTTGCATCATGAACTGCATTTACAAATGTATTTTCTAACAACAACAAAAAGATTGAAAGGTACCTAGTCTGCATATATTAATGCTGTCCTATGAAAGTCACCTTTATTCTCTGAAAGTCCAATTCTGACTTAAAGTTTCTTCTTAATAATTTGTTGCCCAGCTAGTAATATTTTATCACACTGGCATTAGTTTTATGCAAAGTATCATTCTGGGTCAATTTACTTCATGAAGGCAGAAAACGCTTTTTTTTCCCAATCACCTCACTGAACCAAAAATAAATTTAATAATATTGCAAAGTTTACTAAAGAAAAAACCAAACCACTTGCCCTAAGAAAGATCACAAAATGATAATCTTAACTTGAAAAGCAGTATTATAAGCACAACTTAAGATATACAATGGTTACTAGCCACTGAGGCAAAGGGAACAGAGGTGACAAATACTGGGACAGGGGCTGTGAGAAGCTAGAGGAAGAAAAGGAGCTGATTCTTCTACATACTGGTAATGTTCAAAGAAATCAGAATAATTGAGGGCTTCTAGCTCCTAATTTGTTTCTTGCTTTACTACTTTACTTACATTTTTTTGTTACGTATCTCATACATCTAACTTACATTGGCCATGTTCAGTAGCAGAGACATCTTTTAGTGCCAAAGGATAAACTCATGTTTCTGAAGTTGGTTTTAGGCACTGAATTTAGAATCTTTTTGTTACAGTTTCCCTTTCCTTAGCAACCCTATTTGCAAGCTTTCTCAAGCTTTCATTCTCATCAGAAAAGGCTTATTGGTAAAAGCTTTTAATCCTATGTGCACGGAGGTGAAACACATAAGAGAAACACACAAAATAAAAATCAAGAAACATGGAAGACTGAGAGACCCCAACATTTACATAACAGGAATGTGAGACGAGAATGGAAGAAATGGCAAAGAGGTTTTATGACAAGAGATAAGTACTGAGTTCAAATACAGAAATTCAACAGTATTAATAAAAATAAACATACTCCTAAACAAATCATAGTGAAATTTGCAGGAATGCAAATAATAAAACAAAGAAGAAGAAGAACAGCAAAATCCTTAAAACTCCCAGAGAGAAAATATCGTTTACCTAATAGAAATGACAATTAAATGGACAGAAACAGGGGAACACAATGGAGATCTACAACAACTGCATAATGTCTCCAAAATGAAGAAAAGAAAATAATTGTCAATCTTGAATTCTATGCTCAACTAAATGATAATTTACATCAGGGGAAAACGTTTTAGTTGAAAATGAAGAACGTTTATGACTAAATGAACCCAGGGAGAAGACATGGTAAAAAGACATTTGTAAATATGTTGGTAATATCTTTGCTAAAAAAAAAAAAAAGCCCAAGAACAATATGACAAATTTAGAGGGAGGTTGTAATAAAAAGTAGACCCAGAACCTAGCCTACGCTAAAGAAAAAAAAAGGTTGGGGAGGGAAGAGCCATTATCAAATTTCAAATATATTTTTAGTCTGTATTTTTCAGAATAAGGACATGCTGATTAAATTTGGTATTTGTAGAGACAGATAATAATTTTTACAAGATAAAAGATTAACCCAAGCCTATATAATTTCCAAGCCAGTTGAGTGCAAATAAACGAAAATAAACTGGACACAGAAGAAAAGGAAGAAAGGTAAAACATGGGAGTTCAAATCTATATATGTAAAATAAATATTTAAATATAAGTGTGTTAGGAGTACACACTGATATATATTAACAAGAAGATTAACCATTCGCAGATTTAGTCAACAAATATTTGGACATTTTCCTAGTAGTAATGTACTGAGGGAAGGAAACCTGATTCAATGCCAACAGAACAAAGTACTTTCACTAGTTACCTGGGGCTGCGCTGCAGAAACCAAGTCGTCCTCCTCTTCCCCCCGCCCCTTTCTGAACTTAGGGGTTTTGGAGACAAGAATTTGGTGGGACTGCACGACTGCGTGCGTCTCCGAGATAAAACTGCGGCGGACATCCCCGGGCACGAGCGCGGGGTGACTTCGTGCTTCCTAAAAGAGGTCAGTCAAGTTCGGGAAGAGAAGGGTCTCCGGAGGATGACCGATGAGCCGTGGCACCCTCCCCAGGGCCCTGCCCTCTCCGCCCGGGGCTTCCCGTCCGCGGCGCGCTCGTGAGGGAGTTCACTGTATCAACGGCAAGGGTCGGCCCGTTATCGTGTGCCGCCGCCGTCCTACGCTTTGGACATGTACTGTCCCATTTAGTTCTGACCACAGCCCTACCCAGTAGTTTACTCCCTCTCTCTATATATACATTTTACAGAGGAAGAGAGTAGAGCGCAGAGATGATAAACTCGCCGTATACTGTACAGACAGAAGTAGCAGCGCTGCTCGGTACGAGGGGGAGGAGAGCTGAGGAAACCCAAACTTCCGCCCTCCGCCTGTCAGCCTCCGCCCGCGACTAGTCCCCAAGCTCAGGCCGAAAAGGCTCGGAGAGGGTGTGGGGCGCAGTGCTCACTCACCTCGGGGACCGAAAGATGGTGGCGGCGTCGCTTTTCCGGAGCGGAAGTGCCTGGACTACATGGTGCCCAGGAACTACATTTCCCAGAGGCCCACGGTTAAATGACAAAGTTGGGGAATACATTCCCAGAAGCCCCTAGAGGAGGAAGACCTGTGGTCGCCCTCTTAGAACCAAAAAGGGAAAAGGAAAAAGAAAAATCCCGAACTACAACTCCCAGAATCCTTTGCATGGCTTCCGGTCATGCCGGTCTGAAGCAGTTCTCTGAGGCCAGTATAGTTGAACTTGTCCCGTTGACGCACAGAAGATAATTACCAAATATTTGGGAAGTCACTCTTAACGATTTTTAAGAAACGGATCGAGTGATCCTTTACTAATGGAATTGTACCGCTACCCGAAAAAGGGTGGGGTTGGGATGATAGCCTTTATTTTGCAATTTTAAACACTTTTTAGGTATAAAATAATGAAAAACAAAAAATACGCAGCAGCGGCACGGTATATTGTAGATTTCCACTTTTGTTACTGGCACAAATTCAGAACTTGCCTGCTGAAGACAACTAGACATACTCAGAGTAAA